GTCATGGGTCTTTGTGATTATCTATTGCAACCTCTGTCCTAATTGCTTAACTCAGCCTGAACCAATTATTTGGGACTTATATTTAATAGCACATCTTCTGAGTCTGAGGGTATTGTTCCCGCCATCCTGTGAGAGGTCCAGACCTAAGTTCCCCCTTTTCAGGTCCGGGAAACCATAAATAAGTTATGACCAGAATCTGGGTGAGACGGTGTCCCAACCACAGAAGTCTGTAAACCTCAGCTCCTGCTGATCTTGCAAACAGCCTGTTGCAGCGTGGACAAAAGATAAACTATAACCCCGTATTACATGACCTGGACTGTGAGCTTATATATGTTCTCTCATTCAGGTGTAAGCCTGTTCTTTGATTGATTGTAATGCAGACAGGGCACTCATTGGAAAGGGAATTCAGAGGCTGTACCATCTTGTTATACTCTAGAGCAGGAGCCACTGCACTGCAGGGGAACCCGACTCACCAGGCAGCTTAGGACTGGGCTGTACTGTAACCAGGTGGTTAATGGCAAAGCCCTCCCCCAAGTTGTTGAATGCTGCTGTGTTAGTATTAGCGTCCTTCACAAACTTGGGCAGAAATAAGGCCTAGTGTACTGCACAAACTTGGGCAGACATAAGGCCTAGTGTACTACACCTGAACCCAGACATCAGTCAAGGTAACACAAAGGGCCTATGGGAATGTTGAGGACAGCTTTTCAAAGCAATACAGCTTTTAACTATTACCGAATTAATCTAAATTAACACAAATATATTTTTAGCATGATAGGAAAGTAACTTGGTAGGCTACACTGGACAGTTGCATTGCCTTCAGTCTCCCCTCGTGGCAATTGAAAGCAGCACTTGTGTAGTACAGAGGTCCTTGTGATGTATTTAAATACCTAGAAGCAAGCATGGTAAATGTCACAGTAACGCCTATACATAAAAATAATACTAAATATGATCTCTCTTATGCCAAAGACAACAGAAAAGTTATTTTGTAAAGCAGAGCACAAAGTTTTAGATAAATGTCTTGACAGTGAAGCTTTGTAATCTGTCCAGGTACGGAGGGCAGTTGAGCAGTTAGTAATTTTGTTAGGAACTGATCTCAGTAGAGATTTGACATTAAACTATGAAATAAATTATTTGTGAGGCACTTACAGATATATACTGTATATTGAAAGCAATAAAAAGGCAGTCGCAAACAGGTCTTAAATTGTCCTACCAGCACCTGTGCTACTCCAAAGAACACTATCAGAAATCTATAAACTGTTACTTCCTCAATCTAACAAGAATATAGTTAAGCTGCTATTCCATGTGTCATCTTCAAAATAGAGCAATTTTAACTCCTTACCCATACTTGAAATGGAAGTATTTTATACCATTCTTCTCTGGTTTTACACCCGCTCTGAAACACTATTTTTGAATGTTTTATTCCAATGTTAACATTCTCATTGTGCTTAATAATTATTTTGTGTTATTTCCTAAATTATCAAGAAAAATCTAATCTATCACATTTACTATGTTTCTGTTTATAATAGAATTTCAATCTGTATCAGTAGTTCTATGAAGCTGTCTTGACTGTCACCAATAAATATTATTTGTGAATGAAATGCTCTCTGTTCCACCATCTCAAATAATTCTTGACGTGCAGTCAAATCTGTGAAGATCGTCTCTGTCACAGAGACAAGGGTCTGTTGGATGAATATCCAATTTAGTTTGTTTAGTGTGGAAAAGAGAAGACTGAAATGGGAAATAACTTTCAAGTATCTATAAAGTTATCATCATGAGGAGGGAGAAGAATTGTTCTTAATAATTATATTAATAATTGTTCCTCTGATAGGGAGTTTTTTCCAAGGTCCAACGTACATTTCCGTTGCTGCAATTTAAGCCCATTGCTTCTTGTCCTGTCAGGGTAGTTAACTGCTATAGTAAATTGCCTAGGGAGATTGTGGAATCTCCATCACTGGAGATTTTTAAGAGCAGGTTTGACAAACACCTGTCAGAGATGCTCTAGATCAGTGTTTCTCAACCAGTGGTATGAGTATCCTTGAGGGTACTCAAGAGAAGTCTGGGGGGTACGTCAACGCAACTGAAATTTGGAGAAAACTGAATTTTAAAGTTACAGCGCTTTATTATTTTTGTACTTTTTACACCCAAAAATTTAATCGTCCATCTAGCTACAATTAAGTTGTTTAAACAGATGTGTTGCAATGGTAGAAAAAAAATTGTGTGTCTGAAAACTGTAGGTACTGGGGGTACTTATCATTATTTTTTGAAAGGGGGTACTTTATAAAAAAAAGGTTGAGAAACACTGGCCTAGATGGTTCTTGGTCCTGCCGTGCATACACTTGATGATCTCTCAAAATTCCTTACAGTTCTATGATTCTGTGAATTACTGAATTTAATTAAAAACATGGAAACACAAATATTAGGTGTGGCAGTATTAAATTTTAATTTTAGAAAATTTCTTACATACGAGACTAATTACTTTTAAACATTTTTTAAAAACTTTTACCGACTTACATTTTTAAAGATTCGGGAAATTATTGGGGAGCAGGATGTATTTAATACCGGTAGACACTGAAATTCAAAAAGTTAATGTTTTATAGGCTTTAAAACAGATACCATCAACATATAAAAATATACAAATTAAATATCCTTAAATCAATAAATCATACCTGTTCTGAAATATATTTTATTGATTTGTAGGTGTACGGTAAAATTGATATTTACTGACATTTTCATTACACAATATAATCCTTCTAAGTTTACACATATTTTTAGATACTGTTGTTCCAAAATAGCATAAACATAGAAAGGTTAAAATAAAAAAGGTGTATGTGGATGACAATTTCAGTCCATCATTAAATTATAATTTAAAACTAATGCACAGTCTCAAGTTAAATTTGAAAACAAAACAAAATTTCAACATCTCCCAAAATTCAATAGATCTAGTTCTAATATGAGCAAGTGCTCCTTCCTTTGACCATTTAAAAATTCACTTTAAAGTTACTTTTGAAATGGACATATGAATGGTATGAAAACATGAAGTCCTAAATGCATAAGAAAGTTTTAATGTAACATTTGCAGTTATCTGCACAATGTAGATTGTAGATCATATCAAAGTGATTTTTTTGCTTAAAACATGCAATAGAAAGCACCATAAATAGACTATAATTAAATATGTATATATTGAACATAACACCAATAGTTAAAAAGGGTTCTAGAGGCAACCCTGGCAATAACAAACCAGTAAGTCTAACGTCAGTACTGGGCAAATTAGTTGAAACTATAATAAAAAATAAAATTGTCAGACACATAGAAGAACATAATTTGTTGGGAAAAAGTCAACATGGTTTCTTTAAAGGGAAATCATGTTTTACTAATCTGTTAGAGTTCTTTGAAGGGATTAACAAACATGTGGACAAGGGGGATCCAGTAGATATAGTATACTTAGATTTCCAGAAAGCCTTTGACAAGGTCCCTCACCAAAGGCTCTTGTGTAAATTAGGTTTTCATGGGATAAGAGGAAAGGTCCTTTCATGGATTGAGAACTGGTTAAAAGATAAGAAACAAAGGGTAGGAATAAATGGCAAATTTTCTGAATGGAGAGGTGTTCCCCAAGGGTCAGTGATGTTCCCCAAGGGTCAGTCTGAGGACCAATCCTGTTCAACTTATTCATAAATGATCTGGAGAAAGGGGTAATCAGTGAAGTGGTAAAGTTTGCGGATGATACTAAACCGTTCGAGATAGTCAAGACCAAAGCAGACTATGAAGAACTTCAAAAAGATCTCACCAAACTGAGTGACTGGGCAACAAAATGGCAAATGAAATTTAATGTGGATAAATTAAAGAGGAGACTGAGGGAGGATATGATAGAGGTATATAAAATCATGAGTGGTGTGGAGAGGGTGAATAATGAAAAGTTATTTGCTTGTTCCCATAATATAAAAACTAGAGGACACCAAATGAAATTAATGGGTAGCAGGTTTAAAACTAATAAAAGAAAGTTCTTCTTCACACAGCACACAGTCATCCTCTGGAACTCATTGCCAGAGGAGTCTATGAAGGCTAGGACTATAACAGAGTTTAAAAAAGAGCTAGATAAATTCATGGAGGTTAGGTCCATAAAAGGCTAATAGCCAGTGGGTAAGGAATGGTGCCGCTGGCCTTTGTTGTCAAAGGCTGGAGAAGGAAGGCAGGAGACAAATTATTTGATCATTGTCTTTGGTCCACCCCCTCTGGGGCACTTGGCACTGGCCAATGTCGGCAGACAACATACTGGGCTAGATGGACCTTTGGTCTGACTCAGTATGGTCATTCTTATGGTCTTATGAATTAATCTCAAGAAGTTTTGAGAATCATAAGTATTTACGCACACTGTAGGATAGTATTGCTTGCAATAAGAATTCTGTCAGGAAACAAATACACAAAGAGATTGACCAGAGTGGCCTTAATTATTCTTTCTAATTGTTTTTGGAATCTTAGACGAATATCCTATTTGTTTTTGCTTTGCTATGCTGAAAATAACGTGGAATTTGGGTTGTGCTGCATATAAGCACTTGGAACCATGGGAAATTCCATTATATAAAACATTTTTTTATTTTATTAAAAATAAATTACATGCACAAACGTTCTGCTTGAGATAGCATATGAGCTATGACTAAGAAAAAAGCAATACATATTTGTAGTTAATGTGTACTGTCAGGTTTAGAAAATGTTGATTGGGCAAAATTTATGCTCAATATTAAAAATAATGCAAATCTGTTTAAAATTCACATTACTTTCTTTGCAAGCTTGCTGTATTAATGAAAAATTAACTCCAACTAAACATTTTCATCTAAAAATGTTCCTTATGTCTTGTTACTTATTATAGCTTTTCACTTTAGATGCACATTTGATCTAATTCTATTGGAGGTTTACATATTATTTCACTTTTTTAAAAAATTTTACTTAGTCTGCTGGTTTGCATGAAAAATATCTAACATAACCGTGTATTCTTTTCTTTGAAGTCGTGTGTTTAAAACAGACATGGAGTTGGAAGTTCTACGATACACCAATAAAATATCCAGTGAAGCTCATAAAGAGGTAATAGACTCTTTACTGTTAATAATTTTTGCTCTTAGTATAACAGCAGTGTTCAGAAAATGTTCCCAGTAACCCGAATTGCTCAGTAATGAAATAATGAAAGAGCTAATAGGAGAATAGTAGCCCTCTTATTATAGCCCAGTAATACACCTTACATTGTCCTTGATTTTGGCTCACTAGAGTGTCAGTGGAAGGTGACTTGTTTCCAATGTATGTAGTTACCATGTTCAGGAGAAGGCCAACAGGTTTCCGACCTGTTCCATTGTAGCTGTGCATAGTATGCGTAGTCCCGATTGATTGTAGCCGGAGACAGTCAGCAGTTGCTCTCCTGAAAGAGATTTCATTGCCTTGGATGAGAATATTGATCAGCGCAGCAGAGGATGAGACTGTCAGATTGGGATAGGGCTAATGGCCAGTCTTGTTTGGTTGAAAGTCAGAAGGAATTTTAGCTCAAACCAATTGTTTCCGTTGAGATCTTTGGAAGTGAGTCTGTTTCAGTTGCTAACTTCAAGCAGCGGTGGACCAGCACTAAGACTTTCAGTCAAAGGCCGTTAATTGTTGACATTTTTATACTACAATAGCATGTGAATTTCTTCTGTGAGGAGACAAATCAGTGAAGGAGTCCAGTGGAACCTGTCACCCCATGGTCTTGCTTCCTTTCTGGGTTCTTCATTTAATTCATTTGCACCCAGGAGTGTTAGCATAATGTTCCCCCTCTAGGAGTTATATTTGGCCCTTCCAGGCTGAAATCCTTTCCCATTTCCCTTACGTTAGGTTTTTAACTCCTCCCCTCTCTGCTGCCCTGTTCCCTCTGATCATGCCCACCTAGGCCCCATGACTTCTCTGATGATACTTTCCCATACGTCTTTTCCTAGCCCCAATCCCTTAGCCCAAATGTCTTTTGTCCTTAGGACAGAGTCTCCAAAGTGCTCCTTCCTGGACCTGTTGTTGGCCCCAGGAGGCTTCCTTAGACCACAAATACAATAGCTGGTCACAGAAGAGCCTCCTTTTAGGTTTCTCCTCATCCTACAGTCCATCTCTGACCTATGAGCAGTCCTTGTTAATTCTCAGCAGGTGATTCAAGCACCTGATGTTCATCCTCTTTTTAACAAGTCTCTTCTTTTTTGAGATTTTTTTTCTTCAGCAGCTGTGTAAAACCTTCATAATAATGGCAAGAGGCTATAAAAGAAACTGCTTAAAATAAAATACCTCATGTCTTAGTTTTTCTCCCCATAAAAGAGATTCCATGTCTGGATTTTGTTATCTGAAACTATGTGCCAACTTCAGTAATTTTCTTCAGTGACTATGTATTTTATTAATTTTAAAAAATAAGTTCCATATTTCATTTCCCTCCAAGTTTTACAAATGTGAAATCCTTTTTGTACCAATTCCAATAGAGCTTTCAGAATTAAGCTTTGACTTGGTGGTATTTTGATTATCCATGTCACTTTATTCAGGTATACTTAAAACTACTGAGTATATTGCATCTATTCATAATAATTAAAATAATGGAGATTGATTGCTAACCTGATTCTTTATATATTTCTAAATATATTTTAATATAGATGCATAGGTGTATGATGTATATAATGTATTTTTAAAGTTCCTTTATAATCAGTCATAAGTAATATTATCTTAATATACCTTTTTACTAAGAATATTCCATGTTAATATGTATCCCCTAGGTAATGAAGGCAGTAAAAGTGGGTATGAAAGAATATGAGATGGAGAGGTAAGCGCTCGTTTTGCATTTATGATAAAAATAGACAAAAATATTTATTTATGGTAACAGTAAAAGCAACAATTGAGGCAAAGCAGTAACATAGATTGAAGGGAGTTTGTTTCAAGATTGTGTTTGAAGTATTTTTATTATTTACAGGAGACATTTTGTCAGTTTCAGCCTGTCTTTGATGATAGCTGATTGTCTTTGGATATGACTTAGTATAATTCTGTTCTTAGACTTTCTGTAGTTTATAGCAACTTTACAAAATATCCATTGTTACTGCTTGAATATATCCAATACAAGTTTTAGGGGGAAACATTTCCATTATGTCTGTTATGTTTACAGGGCTACATTTGAGGTGCTCATAAAATGTTCTGAGGTGTTTAGTTACATTTCAGCTACAATTAGAAGCAGCATTACTTACCCTCTGAGCTCCACTGTGCTTGACCTGTGGTATGAGCCTTTCAGGCTTTCATTAGCTAGTGGGTATTATCACATTTCTTGAGACATATCATTTGGAGTGCTGTGTATTCAGTAATAACATGTACATTATTTCAGTCCTTTGACTTTGCCTGAAACCATAATGAAATGTATCATATAGTATACTAGGATTAATGCAGCAAATGAAATCTGAAGCTAGAACGCAAAAGCGTTTTCCAAACCACTGAAAGAAAAGATGAAATGGAAATGGGAACATTTTAGGTTACTTCCAGGCTTACAGTACTGTGGAGTCATTTAAACAAGGGATTGACTTCTGTTAATTGAATAGAGTAGTGGCATGTCTAAATCAACTTCTTTATCAAAAGTTTCATCTTTATAAAAATATTCATAGTAGCAATAATATTTCGTATTTACACATCATCTTCTATCTTAAGAATAGAATTGTCAGACACATAGATGAACATAATTTGTTGGGGAAAACTCAACATGGTTTTGGTAAAGGGAAATCATGCCTTACTATTCTACTAGAGTTCTTTGAAGGGGGTCAACAAACGTGGATCCATCAGATATAGTGTACTTAGATTTCCAGAAAGCCTTTGACAAAGTCCCTCACCAAAGGCTCTTAAGTAAGTTGTCATGAGATAAGAGGGAAGGTTCTCTCATGGACTGATAACTGGTTAAAACACAGGAAACAAAGGGTAGGAATAAAAGATCAGTTTTCAGAATGGAGAGATCTAACTAGTGGTGTCCCCCAGGGGTCTGTACTGGGACCAGTTCTATTCAACCTATTTATAAATGATCTGGAGAAAGGGATAAACAGTGAAATAGAAACATTTACATATGACACTAAACTGCTGAAGATACTTAACACTAAAGCAGACTGTGAAGAATTTCAAAAAGAACTCACAAAAGTAGGTGTTTGGCCAACAAAAAGGCAAATGAAATTTAATGTTGATAAATGTAAAGTAATGGACATTGGAAAAAATATTCTCAACTATACATACAAGGTGATGGGGATTAATTTAGCTACAGCTACTGAAGAGAGAGATCTTGGAGTCATTGTGAAAAATGCTCTGAAAACATCCACTCAATGTGCAGCAGCAGTCAAAAAAGCAAACAATGTTAGGAATCATTTAAAAAGAAATAGCGAATAAGACAGAGAGCATCTTATTGCTTCTATATAAAACCATGGTATGCCCACATCTTGAATACTGCATACAGATGTGGTCGCCTCATCTCAAAAAAGATATATTGGCATTGGAAAAGGTTCAGAAAAGGGCAACAAAAATTAGTAGTAGTTTGGAACAGGTGCCATATGAAGAAAGATTAAAAAGACTGGGACTTTTCAGCTTAGAAAAGAGGAGACTAAGACGGTTATGACACAGGTCTATAAAATCGTAGAATCATAGAACACTAGAACTGGAAGGGACCTTGAGAGGTCATAGAGTCCAGTCCCCTGCCCTCACAGCAGGACCCAGTACCCTCTAGACCAGCGGTCCCCAATCTTTTCCAGATGGGGACCCATTTTGACAATTAAGGAAGACTTGGTGAGCCAGGGCAATTCAAAAAATGTGTAAATGGCTCCTTAAGAGCTACCTGGAGATACACCTGACGACCCTTTTGAAATGTAATGGTGATCCATATTTGGGGAACCCTGCTCTAGACCAACCCTGATAGATGTCTATCCAACCTGCTCTTAAATATCTCCAGAGATGAAGATTCCACAACCTTCTAGGCAACTTATTCCAGTGTTTAACCACTCTGACAGTTAGGAAGTTTTTCTTCATGTCCAGCCTGCTGCAGTTTAAGCCATTGCTTTTTGTGCTATCCTCAGAGGCCAAGGATAACAATTTTTCTCCCTCCACTCCTTGACGCCTTTTTAGATACCTGAAAACAGCTATCATGTCCCCTCTCAGTCTTCTCCTTTCCAAACTAAAGCCAAATTCTTTCAGTCTTCCTTAATAGGTCCTGTTCTCTATAAATTTAGTCATTCTTGTTGCTCTTCTCTGAACTTCCTCCCGTTTCTCCACATCTTTCTTGAAATGTGGTGCCCAGAACTGGACACAGTGGTCCAACTGAGGCCTAATCAGTGCAGAGTAGAGCGGAAGAATGACTTCTTGTGACTTGTTCACAACACTCCTGTTAATGCATTCCAGAATCATGTTTGCTTTTTTGGCAATAGCATCACACTGTTGGCTGATATTTAGCTTATCATAGAACCATAGAGCTGGAAAAGACCTCAGAAGGTCATCAAGTCCAGCCCCCTGCTCTAGGCAGGACCAATCCCAACTAAATCAACCCAGCTAGGGCTTTGTCAAGCCGAGACTTAAACACCGCTAGGGATGGAGTCTCCACTACTACCCTAGGTAACCCATTCCAGTGCTTCACCACTCTCCTAGTGAAATCGTTTTTCCTAATATCCAACCTGGACCTCTCCCACCACAACTTGGGACCATTGTTCCTTGTTCTGCCATCTCTCACTACTGAGAACAGCCTTTCTCCATCCTTTTTGGAACCTTCCTTCAGGAAGTTGAAGGTTGCTATCAACCCCCCCCGGGGAATAATGACATCTCTGGATCTGCTGGCAGTGCTTCTCTTAATGCAACCTAATATGCCATTAGCCTTCTTGGTTACAAGGGCACACTGTTGACTTAGATCCAGCTTCTTATCTACTGTGACCCCCAGGTCCTTTTCTGCAGAACTACTACTTAGCTGGTAGGTCCCCAGCCTGTAACAATGCTTGGGATTCTTCCGTCCCAAGTGCAGGACTCTGCACTTGTTCTTGTTGAACCTCAT